ATCCTGACGTTGCTACACTGCCTTATGGAGAAGACGTGGAATTCAAAGACTCAAGGAACAAACCTTCAAAGAAATCCATGTGGTTCGGTTATGACGCCCGGAATAGAATCTTAGCTGACACATGAATTCCGTTATTTGTGTAGCGTGTGAATATTTAGACGCCTCCTCTGTATCAACAATTGTGATAATAATAGCGATAGTATATGATTGGAATTTATGTAGTCAAGTCTTCGTAAGTATGCACAGTGCCTTGTTTTTAACGTTCGGTACTAAATTTCTATTCAACACTGTTGGTATTACTCTCCATCTGAGCAAATGAACATGTTACTATCATTTGAATTAAGTAGTTTAGTGGATAAGACATTGGTGTTTGAAGTGATAATACAACATACTGGTCTTGAGTGTCGATGTAAATGTAAGCTATTTGGTTTTATCAATTCAATATGGTTTTTCAAACTCAATTGCTATTTTAGGTAAGTTAGTTAAATAACTTTATGCAACCTTAACACTTAAGAAAGGTTAGGTTGTAACATGTTTAGGGGCAACCTTCTCTAACCCCTTCAATCCGTTGTGAGAAGGCAACATCGCTGCGCATGCTGGTTGTCCGAGGGAAACTCCTTACTGCTATCACACCTCTCTGCAGTCAGCAGTACGACTTCACCCTCAGACTTTGAGTAGCTGCTTTATTTTCATCGTTCTCCAATCGACATGCCTGGCATAGTAGAACCTTCAGGAACGTATGTCCAAGCCCATATAGCTCGGTTGGGTCATCACAATAGGCAAGCCCGACTACCACGTCAAGGTAGCAGCTACAGTCGCGAGATATGTCAAGGTGTTAACCTCCTCCTATGCATCTCCATCAAAAGTGATTTGGTTGACGCATGTACTATTGTATTGAAGAATCTTGCATTCCCGGCTGCTGCTAAACTGATCGTCTTCTCTTGCATTTGCTGTTGCATGTGCGATGGAAGAGCAAGATCATCTGCTAAGCTCAAATCGTCCAGATGCATCCTGGTTGTCAACTGAATATCGTGATTTCTTCCAGATATTGACGTATTCCTAATCCAGTCAGTCACCAGGAGAAACAGAAAGGGTGAGAGTAAGCAACCTTACCTGACATACCTGTCTTTACCTAAAATGAGTGTGTGAGCTGTCCACTATGCACGATTTTGAAGAATTTCGTATGATGTCGACTATCTTCTCAGGCACGCCGTAGTGTCGAAAAAGCCTGCACAGTATAGTCCTGTCCACACTATCAAATGCTTTCTCGTAGTCATGAAGTTGATGTAGATTGGTGAGCTTCATTCAATTGATTGTTTTCGACTTACACGTCTAGTTCATAAAGCAGTGAAACAACATTAGGACATGCAGTCCTGTAATAGCCAGTAACTGACAAACAGGTTCATACCCAGTTTATTCCACCAGGAGCCGGGTAACAATGCGCGTCTATGGCATTAGTGTTTACTGCCTTAGTTCAACACTCTGTATCAAACAACGTGGTTGGAGCTTTAGTCAAATGTTAGATTTTCTTCTATTTCTTAATCTTGTAAACAACACTTAGGTTAAGAGAGAATGCATTGAATAGAACTTCTGTAGTACCTCTACCATGCTCGCTTCGCCACATGAAAGCATTTTGAGAGGTAGAGTGAACTTTTCCCCCTCTCAGCAATACCACAGCATTCAAAATGATTAAAAAAACTGACGTTTTAACATTTTTAAACAAAACAAACAATTTATTACACAAACTTCACTTTCTATTAACTCCCATGCATCCTACGACTTTACTAACTTCCAATACTACTTTATTAATTACCACTTAAATAAGAGACTTGAATTATTATTACTATCGTATGAAATTACTGTCATCGATCGATCTGTGGTGACTTTTTTTAGTTTTCTTTCTGTAAAATGTGACCTATTTTTTTTTATAAAAGCAATGAAAGAATTTTTATTTGTACAAGTTGCGTTTGTTTGTTTATTCTACATTCTGAATATTATCTTGTTGCTACAACTATCACCTTTATAAATCAATACACACAAAAACAATATAGAGTCTATGTTTTAGAAAAGATTTTTGTCAATGATAGAAATCGACTAAGACAGAATCAATCATAAAGACTATTTTTTTCAGTTGTACATTAATGAAGTGAATTTATGGAGAGAGAGAGAGAGTATTATTTTCATGGCAGAAATCATCATGTGAATCGATTTAAATTAGACGATCTTTAGGAAATCAGGAAGCAGTGGACAGTCAGTCAGTAGCAACGTAGAACTTTGTACGTATGTACACATAAGTTCAGGTTGCTATACCACATCATAGGTGTCTTTGAAGCATTGCTCGTATATCCTGGGACACCCGAGTGAGCAACACTGTTATTAGGAAACGAGTACTAGGTAAGAATGGCAGATCAATAGATGAAGTGGTGAAACTTCATCAGTTGAGGTGGTTGGGACACGTGTTGCGTATGCCTAACCACCGATTGCCTCAAAGAGCTTTGTTTTGTAGTGTAGTAATAGGTTGGTAGAAAGTTAGGGGCGGACAAACCAAAACATGGCACAAATCCATGAAGTCATTGACGAGTGGACTGAGCCATGTTGGTAGGTGCAGACTACGTCACTGGGGTCCAGGAATCGATAGTAATCGATGGTTAGAGACCCTGAATGACATGGCCCAAAATCGTTCGCAATGGCGCCGGTGCATTTATTCTTTGTGTTCTCTCAAATCCTAATCTTCTGGATTCTTCAACACCTCAACTTTTGTCCTTTTAGACTTTTCTCACTGAATCATACTTCTTGAATAATATCTTCTAATCCTAACCTCTCCGATTACTTCTAATAACTTTACTTCCTCTTCTACTTTTGGATTTGATTTGACAATTATAGCTCTGTGCTGATAAGGTATGGCAACATGAACTGATGTACTTACGCACAAAGTTTTACGTTGCATCTGACTGACTGACTGACATAAGCACAGAGACACAAATTTCAAATCAAATCCCACATAGTGATAAAGATAGTAGAGGTATTAATGGTAATGAAGAAGACTAGGGTTTGAAGATATTATTCAAGAAGTATGATTCAGTAAGATAAGGTTAGAAAGACAAAGGTAGATGTGCTGACGAATCCAGAAGATTAAGATTTGAGAGAACACAACGAATGGATGCACTTGCGCCATTGCAAACGATTTAGAGCCTTGTCGTTCAAGGTCTCTAACCATTGGTGACTTCCCCAACCAGGGGAAGTAGTGGACAAGCATTTCATTCTAGTATAGGGCTACCTAAAAGAATACAATCAGGACACTTAGACACGGTAATCGAACCTAAGATGAAGGTTGAGCTAGATCATCATGCATTCGGTTTATAGGTTAGGCGTTCCAGCACGACACTAAAGTTCATGGGTCCAACAGATATGTGCAGTATTTGTGGAAGTGCAATGCTGATGAGTTAGACAAAACAACTGTCCAAAGTTTCCAGGTTTCTGTTGGTGGTCTAGATATGATCAATTCATGATTTCAACTACGAGACTTGTAATCATGAAGAATACACAATCTTAATGATTAAACATGAACCATGATGTGATCACAAAAGCGACTTTTTTAAACAAATTCAAAAAAATGGGAAGTTTTGTTTTTGAGAAACTTTTTCGTAGACTTTTAGTGATGATGGATACAGCTTATGAAAACGTGATCGATAAAACGCGATCCAGACATACTCGATATTAGTTACTATTATCACTGACCGATCACTGTAAGTCCTTTAAGGGTTACATGAAACCAACCGATGATCGAATTGATAAATGGTACAGTCTGAAGTAACGAAACTGTATTCGAAACGTTCATTTGCTAACTCATACGAAATCTAACTCCAGACTTCTAGGCCAATTAGCTCAAATCAACCCTATCATGCAAATTAACATGTGCTCACTAGTGACTAGTTCCATGAGAGGTCGTGACTAATGGAGTCCAACAATGTTCGGGTGTGAAGCAGCACTCACCGAAGACAGTGGGTTGAGCGAAGTTAGACATTAACACCATTAAATACCAGCTCAGTGGTCTGAAGGTTAGGTGCACACGCGCAAGTTCGAAGGGGCCGTGGATACGAATTGCTGATGAGGAAGCATACGAATATCAATGTACAGTATCCGTCTATTAGCCTGAGAGCAGAAAAGGTGTGTTTCGAAAAGGACAAAACATCAATCAATAAAGGCAAAATGAAAAATCGCAAGTTCAATTCGCGGATGATGACCTTTATCAATATGTTTTATATAGCCATTCTTTTCAATGATTGTTTTGTTAACTCATTCATCTGACCGACCACTTATTACTGTAAATTTAATTGTACATCTTTGAAAATGAATCATCTAGATAGATAAAATAACTTCGACACAAGTCGAATGATTAGTTATTGTAATCAAACATTGATAATGATAATAATAATGAAACTACAGTGAGCCAATCAAAAGTGACGAAAGAACAAACGTATCTCATTGGTCGAAAAATGGATTCATTTTCTCAGGGGAAAGAGTACAGATGCATATGATTTGGTAGCCAAATAGACCGCCTCCGCCGCTTTTAGCTTTTTGCTTAAGTAGTCAGTTTCGCAAGTTGATGCCCATCAGATACACTTCACATCATAACAGATAGTAATAATAATAGTAATAAAACTACAGTGAGCCAATAACTCTACGGGGCTACTGCCGGTCCCAAGCTCGGATAGAGGAGGAGGGGTTGGACATGGGGTTGGCGCCCACATCCCAACTAAAAACTAACTTGCCAAAAAAACGCTAACCAGAAAAAATAAGTCAAAAAAAACAGTGAGCCAATCAAAAGTGACCAAAAAATAAATGTATCTGATTGGTCGAAAAAAAGAGAGTACAGATGCACATGACTGCCTCTTGCACTTTCAGCTTTTCGCTTAGGTAGTCAATTTGACCAGTTGGTACCTATCAGATACACATTACATCATAACAGATAATAATAATAATAATTAATAATAATTTACCGTTTGAACAAATTTGGATTTTTTCAATTCATGCGCTTCATTTATATTGGCAATATATTCAAATGCTTTAGACATATAATTTTTACGTTCTTGAAGCATTTTTGCATCATTCTAAGAGTGAAAATTAAAAAGAAAAAAAAGAAAAGCGTTAGAAAAATTTTAGTTGCATTCAACCAAATAAGGAGATAGAATGAATAGAGAGAAATGAAATTAGGATTTTGTGGCGATCGATTTGATTTAAAGGAGAGCATTATAAACTAAGGTATACAAGATTAGCTAGATAGCTAGCTAGCTGTTTAGTTGTACACTAGGAATCCTTGACAGTGTGACCTAAAGATGGCATAAGGAATAGAACCTACATTTCTGGACAGGATCATTGATGAGCAAGATGAATCTGATACGCATGTGCATGAATGGATTGGCAATTGAAAACATCTACAACTCATAACAACTATCAACCAACAACAAAATCATAATTTTCAGTACAAATGTCAAGAGAGCGGAAAATTGGAGAAATACAAAGGATTTATTAACAGTTTTCTACTCAAGATACTCTTCATCCTTTGTCGAGACACCATCAGCAACAAACTACAGTGTGAGAGAACAAACCAGATTCTAGCAGAGGAAGAAACTAGGAAGAAGCGCTGGAGGTGAATAGGACACACTATGTCACAAGACAAGCCCTTACTTTCAATCCTCAAAGTCAAAGTGACAGAGGAAGGTCAAATAACACAATACATCAAGAATTAGAGGCAGACAAAGAGAGAATGAACAGCGAATGGATAGAGCTGGAAGCGGAGGTTCAAGACAGATTGAATTGGAGAATGCTAGTCGGCGGTTTATGGTCCATCGGGGGTTAACAGATGTGAATGTGAAGGTGTTTTGTTCTCTGAGCTGGTTGTTTTGGTTGTGGAGCTTTCATTGTTCTTCTGAACAACATCATCAGCACGAACTTCAGATAGAAGTGAAGCATTAGAATCTCTCCACGTTTGACCTGTAGCTTGTTCTGCTAACCTCGATCTTGATTGGTTGTTATTGACCTTTGGCCTGTCGTTGTTTGCAACTATGTTTTGATTGCCTCCCTCTTTTGATCTGTTTCTTGATCTAGTGTCACCTATGATTTTCCTGATTGGTTGATAAATTGGGTCAATGTCGATGTGTTTGTTGATTGCTAATTGACCTGAGTGCCAAGCTTCTAAAAATTCTCTAGTGTTCTTTGTCCTCCCCCTACCTAGTATTTCCACGTTGTTCCAATCAAATGTGTGTCCATAATTGTCGGTGTGTATTGATATAAGCGAAGCGTTGTCGTGGCGTTTGACTGCTAATTGATGTTCACGTAAACGGAGCTGAAGAGGTCGTCCACTTTGTCCTATGTAGTGTTTTTCACAATTTGAGCAATTTATTTTGTAGATGATATTTGGTTTTTCTTCCTTTGTCATTTTGTCCTTTGGTCTACATAGGATTGACTGAAGTGATTCCGTTGGTTTGTGTGCCACACCTATTCCAAATGGTTTCAGTAGTCGTGCCGTATGCTCTGATATGTCTTTGATGTATGGTATGTAATAATAATTCTATTTACTTCACATTAAAAAGTTTTTTTAGTAATAATCAGGTTTAGCAACTTCTTTCATTTATATACACAATTCATTAAATTGGACATTGAAATGAAATTCAAAACAAAGAAAAAAGATTATGAAAATGAAACCACAAACGTGGCTCGCCTAAGTACTATACACAGAAACTGGAGGTGAGATTTATTTTATAGCATACTCAAACGTTTGAAATATAACGAATTTTTCGGAAGCTAAATTCGGACGTCTCGATTGAGAGGCAGGGTCGAAAGAAGCTATCAAGTCCGTAGACCAATAAAAGTTAAGAGCTGACTCAAGGTCATTGGTGCCAGAACTTAATTTTGATTGGTGCTTAGTATTTATCATAGGATATTTGTTTACAATTAGGCATATAACAACACAAACAGAACTCAATAACTAATCAGGTTAATTTGAAGCATTAGTTATTTGTCGGCTCCGCGCCTTTAGTCTCAAAATCTAAGCTAGAAAAAGACAAAACTTCATATTTGAATGTATCAAAATGTGAAATACAAATGAAAAAGTGAATGAAATTCTGCGACCAATATTAAAATACGAAAAAAAACGTGATTCCAAGTTAAATAAAATAATAAAAATACAAATTGAAAAGTAAGAAATTAAAAGAAAGCAAATTGTACAACATTCCAATAATCTCATTAGCATAATTTCACTTCAAATCTTGTATTACTGACTTAAACAAGTTTAATCGCAGAAAATAGATGTTACGCCTGCACGTAAACACGTCAACTTGATATACTTGAACTAGTACGAGTTTACCTAGTCGAAAACGCGAGAGCGAGGATCGAGAATCCGGTGACACGACATGCTAATTAAATCCAATTATCCCAATCCCCATACTGAGTGAAAATAAGAAGACGTGATATGAAGTAGAACCTGTATTCTAAAAGCATCCAGGAAGTAAGATGTCCTAGTCCAAAAGAGAATCAGGATCCCGGACTAGTGATCCGGGACCGGGTCCTGGTCTCAACGAACACCAGGAAAAAAGCGAAATCCTCTGATACATCAAAACATGCACCGAACATATCACACCTGACGACGAAGCTTTGAAGGATGCAGAAACCTTTACATTACTGGGCAACATCATTCATGAGCAAGGTGATTCGGATGCAGATGCGCATGAATGGATTGACAAAGCAACGGCAGTATTTCTTCAATCGAAAAGACATACAACTAATACCAACTACCTAAAAAAACACCAAAGTCACAATTTTCAACACAATTGTCAAGAGTGTTCTACTGTATGGAGCGGAAACTTGAAGAAATACAAAGGCCATCATCCACAAGAAACAATGATTTCAATTAACAGTTGTCTACACAAGATACTCCAGATCTACTGATCAAACACCAACAACGACAACATACAGTGGGAGAGAACAAACCAAATTCCAGCAGCGAAAAAATCGGGAGAACGCGCTGCAGGTTGGTAGGATACACGTTAAGGAACCAACACCCAACTGCGTCACAAGACCAACCCTCACATGGAATCCTCAAGGTTAAGGGAAAAGAAAAAAGACCAAAGAACACAATACGACATCGAGAATCAGAAGCAGACATGAATGAAAAGTAATTGGATTGAAACGAAAGCGCTGAACAGAGCAGATTGAAACATGCTAGTTGGCAGCCCCATTTAGGGCTAACAGTAAATAATTAAATTAGGTAATGACATGTAAACGGAGAATTTCAAATCAGATGAACAGTAAATCCTATCCACTGTTTTTTTTTCTTTAACACTTCACATATATTCTTCTGTATTGAAATGAAAAAAAACCTTTTAATAATAATCACAAGATTCAAGAGTGAAGAAACACATGATTGAAATTGGTATCATCTATCATTCATTAGAATTCATGTGATATGATTCATACAAGTAATAATACAAGACAACATTATACATTGATATAAAGGTAGGCAAAAACACAAATCATTCCGAGCCCAGTTCTTCTAACTGAATATATATATATATATATATATATATATATATATATATATATATATTACTTTAAAAGGCCAACTTCCTGAAGAGCAAACTGAGCGGAGTTAAATCAAATCCACTTATATTGAACTAGTGTGATAGCTTTGCACTACACTTCTTGGAGCCATGTCGGTTAATGCTATGGAGATATGGCGTCTATGGGATGACCGCTTCGTACAGTGCCAATAATAGACACTAACAATAAAATTGATTAATATTCAACAAAACATTTCTGATCTTAGATGAAACTACCTCTAGGAGTGAATAGAAAAGTTTATTGGAGTTCTAATATGGAGTTCAAATCAAAACTGTTTCAGCATTGGTATTCCACCAATTCAATTTTGAATTCTGAATGATGCATTAATATATCAAGTCACTCATTCGTCCCTGGTCCTACTCTCTTTCTTGAATATATTTTGATTTTGTTTATGTGAATATTATTGGTATTTTTAAACCGTACTTACTTACTTACTTACTTACGCCTGTTACCCCCCTTCCAAATGGAGCATAGGCCGCCAACCAGTTTTCGCTAACCAACTCTGTCCTGGGCTTCCCTCTCTAGTTCTGTCCAATGTTTGTTCATTCCTCTCATATCTTTCTCTATTTCTCGGCGTAATGTGTTCCTTGGCCTTCCTCTTTTCCTTTTGCCTTGAGGGTTCCATGTGACGCAGTTCGGTGCTTTTCGTAGTGTGTGTCCTATCCACTTCCACCGCTTATTCCTAATAGCCTCCTCCATTGGAATCTGGTTTGTTCTCTCCTACAGTAGGTTGTTGCTGATGGTGTGTGGCCAACGAATCCGTTATTATTATCCCCTACCAGTTTTCATAGTTGAACTTACGAAGTGATCTAAGTTCGATCACCATTAAACACCTGGAAGCATTGGACATGACTCTTCAGCAATAGGTATCCACGAAATCCACATACAGCAATCGAACCAAGGACGTTCGGTTTCACCCTCCAACGTTTAACCACTGATTCGATATCCAGTGGTGTTAGTGCATTACTTCAATCAATTTATGATGTTGTGCAACCTTTATTCACTCACTACCTGCAGGGGATACTGGTCGCCTCCTGTTAAGCTCGTCAATTGATTTGCTCGAAACTATTACGAGTTCACCGTAGTCGGTAAAGACAAATGATCCAGTGATACAATAGGCTACTCTGATCCGACGGTCCTAAGGCCCCACAATGTAGAGGAACAAGTCTTGACAAGACACATGTATTCTACAAGCACCCAGGAAATCGAGGTTTACAAGCATACAAATCGAGTTTATTTATATACATAATAGAAACATCCTTGGGAGAGCCACAAAAATAGCGTACTAAAATAATCCATCAACCAATGATAGTCAAGGATTTTCAGGGTGGAAAATATAATCTCAAGGTCAACTGAGCAGCCCATGCGCGTAAGCATAAAATCCAAAATTATGACCTTTATCAAGTAATTTCTGGGGATCTAACGTCCCCAACACCTAACTGACATAGATTGATCTCCACTGGTCACGATTGTTATGATGAACTTTACGTTTTTCACTTTCCGTCATATCTATCATCTATCTGACCTTGACATTATTCTTATTTTCCTAATCTTCCAATCACTGGATTACGATTAGGTTACTTTTTTTAAAATTATGAATCGATCAATGTTCAACAACCATTAAAAAAAACTGGAAGCATCGGAAGGCCGTTTCGTCCTAGTATGGAACTCATCAGCAGTGTACATCTACAGCTCCTGCAACTCACAAATTATCATATAAATGATTCATGAAATTTGAAATACTTTGAAATAAAACATTTTAAAAAGAAAAAAACTACTTACATCATCTGTAAATTCTTTTGATTTAATTGATGTGTATTTTTCAAGTGATTGACAAAAGTTTTTTGTCTCTTTTTGAAATGTTTTTACATTAGTCTAATAAAAGATAAAAGTAGATAATTATTAAATGAAAATTGATTAATTTCTTAATCCTTTAATAAGTAGTTAACAGTGGAAATCAAAAGCCCATGAGAATGTACTCACATAGTAGAATGGATATTTACAATAGGGACTCAAAACCTATTGTCTTTCTCTTTAACAGTTCAATGAGTTTAGATAGAAGATATTATTCAAGAAGTATGATTCAGTGAGAAAAGATTAGAAAGTCAGAACTAGAGGGGTGGAAGAATCCAGAAGATTAAGATTAGATAGAACACAATAAATGCACCGGCGCCATTGAAAACGGTTTTGAGACATGTCATTCAGGGTCTCTAACAATCGATTATTATCATCTCGCAGACCCCAAACAGGCAGTCAACAACTACCGACATGACTCAGTCCACTTGTCAATGACTTCATGGAGTTCTGACATGTTTTGGTCTGGCCACCCTTACCTTTCTTCCAACCTACTCCAACACTACAAAACAAAGCTCGTCCCAACCACCTCAACTGATGAAGTTTCAGCAATTCATCTATTGATCTGCCATTCTTACCTAGTACTCGTTACCTAACAACAAAATTGCTTACTCGATCGTCCCAGGATACACGGGCAATGCTTCTAAGACATCTATGATCGAAAATTAATAACCTACGAACATCTTCTACTCTCACTGGCCACAGCCATAAATTAAGCCTACGCCAGAAGCGACGCAGGTTGGCAAAAGCCAGTCGAGCCTTCTGTATTCGAGCTGAGATTTCGTCAGTCACCGGGCCATCAGCACTGATGAGACTCCGAGATAAGTGAAGCGATCAACACGCTCGACTACTTTACTCCCTATCACTAGTTCAGGTGCCTATGCAACCCAATCGTCAAAATATGCGATTACCAAAGCATTATGTGCATACAATCCTACTTAAGGTTGAATTTAGAAACACCTCAAAGTCACAACAAGGTGAAATGCACAAGTCTAAATATTTCAAAAGACGAAACTGTCCAGTACTTCTTTGTTCTGTAATTTTTTTTCAAATTAACCTCAATTCACATGATATATAAGTAATATCTTTATTGCTTGTTATTTTATAATAACTACAAAAAAAGAAACTTACTTTTTGACCACTTAACCATACAGAACGTAATTCCGATAGTTCATTTAACACTAATTCTTTATTAGGTCGCTAGAAACACAAAAAATAATAATCAAAATTACAAACACACAAATGTGGGCGTAAAATATTCATAATAATTGATCAACTTAAGCAAAAAAAATTCCAGTCTATAATAATTAATAATAATAATAATAATAATAATAATAATAACCTTGATTAGTAATTAAGACAGATTGAGAAGTAAAAAAAAAGAACCAATCAAAAGCAAGTAAAAATGAGAAGGTCATTTGATGATGAGCATTAGAAATGAATGACCTAAAAAAAATGAATGCATATCATTGGTCAAGAAATGATTTCATTTTCTAAAGGGTTTTTTAAATCTATGATACGCTTAAATAGTCGGTTTGGGGAAATAGATGATATTACATTCAGATCTGGGAATAATTTACATCATAACGCATGAAACAAGTACCAGTGTGTGCACTGAACTATGATCGGTATCAATCACAAGTTAATTGAAGCTAGAAATTCAATCTATTGCATGTTAACTTAATATAATAAGTAGTATAGAGTTTATTCTCTCTAGTGTAGTAGCATTTAGATGTACACTATAGAGAACTTCGTACGTACGTACGTATATCAATTCAAGTTGTCATAACCTATTAGTACGCATAATAGTAAAGGTAATAGCAGTATTAGTAGTAATCGAAAGCATTAGAGATCAATGTGTATATCCCAGTGAAAAAAAATTTAAAAAAAGGGAAAATAGGGGCTCATGAGAAATTGAAGAGATTAGAATTTGAAAGAACACACAAACAATAGATGCATCTGAACCATTGCAAACGATTTTGAGCCTTTTCATTTAAAGTCTCTAACCATTGATTACAAATAACCCGTAGTCTACACCTTTAATTACCAGGACTCCGTCCAGTTGTCAATGATGTTAGTGTACTCGCACCTGCCCATAGCTATTTTGCATCAGAAGCTTTTAAATCAGACTAACTCTCTCTGCCGAATCAGAATCGTTTGCAATGGCGCAGGTGCATCCACTCTTTGTGTTCTCCCTAATTCTAACCTTCTGAATAACTAATAATCTCTATATTTCTCCTTCTAAAGTTATCACACTGAATTATACTTTTCGAATCATACCTTCCAACCCTAATGTTCTCCATTACTACTAATACTTCTACTATTGCTATCACTCTTGGATTTGGCAGAAATCCATGAAGTCACTGACAAGTGAACTGAATCATGTTAGTAGATGTAGACTACCTGGTTGGGGTCCGCGAGACGATAGTCACCAATGGTTAGAGACGTTGAACGACGTGGCTCAAAACCGTTCGCAGTGGCGCAAGTGCGTCAATTCGTTGAACACTCTAAAATCCTAATCTTCTGGATTCGTCAGCACATCTACCTTTGTCTTTCTAACATTATCTCACTTAATCATACTTTTTGAATAATATCTTTAAACCCTAGTCTTCTTCATTACCATTAATACCTCTACTATCTTTATCACAATGTGGGATTTGATTTGACAATTACATCTCTGTGCTAATGTGGTATGGCAACATGAACTTATGTACATACGTACGAAGTTCTTACGTTGCAACTGACTGACTGACTGACTTGGATTTGAACTGACAGTTGCGTCTCTGTGCTGACCGTGGTATGGCAACCTGAACTTATGTACTTATGTACGTACGAAGTTCCACGTTGAATCTGTCTGTCTGTCTGTCTGTCTACCTCTACCGAATGATCAGTGTTTCATGAAGAAAAAAAGATTAAAACACTATTTTGTTGAAATGAAACGCGCCAAAAATATATACACCATAAACCACCATTATGATTTATTTTAACAAATACACATATCTATATATATAATATCAAATAAAACAGATCGTTGTATCATAACATAACTGATACATTGATAATTTTCTATATCACAATATACAATGAATGACACAGTAATCATTCATATTACTGATATACTTCTATACTATATTCTAGACTAAATCACAGACATATATAAATATATATACAGATCATAGATATATATAAATGGTATAGTATGGTTGATATATGATTGTTTCATTTGATAGAATGAAAATTATTTTGTAACTAATTTTAAAAGTTTGACTTATTTCATTTTATGATATTGAATGAAAAAAAAACATTTCAACAGACAGATTGGATTTATTTGTTGTACTTATTCATGACTGAGTCTCTCTCTATATGACCCAAATAAATCGATACGAGCTACATGGTAGTTTGTCAACCTGTTAAGTTTCAAAGAAATGATGAATCGATCATTGTTAAACCACCATGGAAGCTTTAGAAGCACTGAACGAGTCAGTCCCATACCAAGGATGGGATGGCCGGTTAGTGCTTCCATGTTTCTAATGGTGGTCTAACAATGGTCGATTCATCGTTTCAAATGAAAATATGTATTAGCTCAATTAGCTATGAGGCAGTAATACAACAAGCTGGGATTGTTAATATGAGTTAAGCAATGTCAGAACACTATCGAAATCCTTAACATACTGAACGATCGTTTCGTCCTAGTGTGGTGTATACTACTCACAATGTGGCTTCTAAGTAGTATGCAGTGGAGGGTCATTCAGATTTAATGACCGGAGAGAAGAGTGTCAGATCCAAATGTATGGTAAGATCAAAGTGTTTTGAAGAACAGAAGAAAACAGTTAGTTATCTGTTTGTTTTGTAAATGGAAATCTGAAGATAAATGGTACAGATTTGGTTAATAAACTGTATCATCTCCAAGTACATTAGTATTTGATTTTGGTCTAAACAGCTTCGTTCTCGTGTGCTGTAACGGGTATGATAGCGGTTGTAACTTCTCGGCTGCCCAAACCGTGAAAGGGTGTTTCTTGAGAAACCAGAAAAGGAAGGTAGATTAGTGTCGATCTTAGGGACCTGGGAGCGTGACCACAGAGCCCAACGGACAACTGCTTGGGACCGGTCATGCACTGCCTTTTTATGAGAAGTTTTTAAAGTATTCACTCCGTTCTTGTTTAAAAGGCTTTACAGTCGGAGACTGAAATCCGTGAGGTAGGGTGAGGTGTGACATTTTTAGGGTCGACCTTTTCTAACCCTTCCTTCCTTCTGAGAAGGCAGCATCGCTGTGGATGCTGGTTGTCCAAGGGAAACACCTTACTGCTGCATAACTCTCTGCAGTCAGACGTCCAACTTGCCTCTCAAACCTTGAGTTGCTGCTTTTAGTCTCATCATTCCGCAATCAACCCGCCTGTCATAGTAGGACATTCAGGAACATATGTTCCAGCCAATATAGCTCGGTTCGGTCATCACGATAGGCAAGCCCGATCGCCACGACAAGGTAGCAGCTATAGTCTGGAAACATACTAGACTTCTACTCGAAAAAGTAGCAGATTATTCGCTGTCTTCTCCTGGTCTTCAATACAGTTTGATCATTCTATTCATTCGGATACGACACTGTTAGGTCATAAATTCTGAGCGACACTTCATTTCATAATATACTCTGAAACTACATTGTGCGTAGTATACACTGTAACAGGATAAAACAACCGTTCAGTGCTTCCAAGATTTTAATGGCGGTCTAACGTTGATCAGTCCATCAGTTTAGATAAAAATCAACAATCGCTACAATCTTCATACTGTGTTAGGCACCACACTATCTACTATCAGATATCCGAACCGATGCTGGTTGTCCAAGGGAAACAGCTTATTGCCTTCACACCACTCTGCAGTCAGTAATAACACTTCAGACCTTAAGTCGTTGCTTTCAATCTTAACGTTCTCCAATCGACCTGCTTAGCATGGTAGAACCTACAGGAACATATATATTTCAACCAATGTAGCTCACTCAGTTGAGTCATCACGATAGGCAAACCAGACCACCACATCAACGCAGCAGTTACAGTTGGGCATTTAAACTCAACATAACTTTTTTTTTAAAAAAAATATTACACCAAGTCACTACTACTCATTATTGATTCAATAGTAGTAATATATATAAATATTCAATCTCAAAAAAACCCAGATAACTTACAATCATTGTACGTCTAGCTTCTTCAACATTTCTAATTATAGTTGCGTATACGGATAAAGCATTTTTAATGATAATATCATCATCGGTTTCAGACACTTCTAAATAACAATAATGAAAAAAAAAACACCACATTGAAATTTGTAGTTAGTTATTTAGTTAGTTAGTTAATTATTTATAGAATTAGAAAAAATACCATTTTCTGTTTGTGTTATACAAACTGTTTGATGTGCAGCATATTCAGAAAAATCACGCAATGATGCAGCATAATCGATCAGCGCTTCGTTTAATGCTGAAACAAAGAAAAAGAAAAAGAAAATGATGATAAGAATAATTAGGAAAAAAAACACGCACACATAAAATTAAAACGTGAATAAATAAATGACCGGTGGAGTTCAACCGCTTTCGGGTGAAAGCAGTAACTACCAAAGACAATGGATGAGGTTGTGCAAGACCATGGATTGATCACAAGTTAGACATTACCATACTATTAGATACCGGTTCACAGCGGTCCATAGGTTAGGCGCTCGCTCGCAAGACATAAGGTCCTGGGTTCGAGTCCTGTTGTGGTGTAAGCTACTTATAAGTAGTATATGACGTGAGTGTCAACGTTATGTCTGGCAGCAGAAGATGGGGGAAGATCAAGAAAGGAAGAGTGGGAACACAATGGAATTTGTATGAAACGCATGAATAAGTGAAATGTCAGAAAATGGATTGATGATTGATTGAAGATTTGCAAATTAACAGTTACGATATTTTTTTTCCGATTTTATTACTGAGTAACTCTGTAATTTTCGTGAAATACAATTTGGTTGCCCTAACCTGTGTTCTCGTTCACAACACTGTGAGTGGCAGCAAAACGTAGATGAGCACTTCTAATGAGTCCCATACACGAAGACGAAACTGCCATAATCCAGTGCTTCCAGGTTTCTAATGGAGGTTTAACAATGATTCATTCATGGTTTTAATGGTTCATTTATGTTTTAAAATAAATCGTTGTTGACGAACCTATTATTCATCATCATGTCGCACTTAGTGCTATGCTACGATCAAGACTGGAAACAGTATAAGTGCCTTCTACAGATGCTCTCATACGACACGACAAAGGTAGTGGAGTCTTACTTATTGTCTTTATGTGAATGGGATGTCGATTATGAAATTAAAAAGATAAAAGGGTAATATCCGATGAGAACTAAGCAAACTAGATTGGTGGATACACAGCATCCATGTTAGGGAGTTGAAAAACCTCGCATTTGAAACCAATGGACTCCAGGATCTTGACGGAACGAATCGACTGAAAAACATATTATTGTTTGACACCGGTTACCATAATTAACCAAATCGCCTAATGTTGCCCTATTGCCATGTCTGTTAAGTCAAAGGCACGAGGAATAGCCTTCTACGACAATCATGCGGTTTAGTTTGGACACACAGATAGTAAGTATGCCAGCCTACACGCGAAAAATCGTTGATTTATATGGCGTATAA